GGGACCAGCAGGTAGCAGGAGCTCTGTTCGCAGTGGGAAAGGAGGACTCCGAAGCACTCAGGGCTGTTTGCAGGGACAATGTCAGAGATGTCCACACCGACTGAGCTGTGACTGGCCTCGCAGCTACCTTCCTGCACACCTCTGCACACACGGAGGCATATGTATGTGACGTGTAATGAACCTGACTTTAGGAGATCCATCTAGACTGTGATTGCACGTTTGCCCCGATAATCTACATGTCCTTTCTGAGCCCCAGCGCGCTGGTCTCTGAATTGGGGTAATAACCTCTGCCCTGAGGTGTTGCTGATTCCATAAGGACACCATCGGGACAGCTATGACAATCTTGGCTCAGCTGGTCTGACTCTCTTTACATTGGGTAGAGGCCGAGGCCGAGGCCGGGGTGAGAAGGCAAGACCTCTGTGGACCGCAGTGCTCTTGCTCTGCGTTTGGTGACCTGGATGGAAAGGTGGCCAGCTGGGCCGCTCCGGGCTTCTTCCTCTATGCGTTTACGTGTTCAGACCTCAGAGATAGAGTTCTATATTTTAAAAAAATCACATCTATAAAAGAAGGGCTGAGCCGGGCACTGGTGGCTCACGCCTCTAATCCTAGCTACTCAGGAGGCTGAGATCTGAGGATCGCGGTTCAAAGCCAGCCTGGGCAGGAGAGACTGTGAGACTCCTATCTCCAATAAACCACCAGAAAACTGGAAGTGGTGCTGTGGCTCAAGTGGTAGAGCACTAGTCTTGAGCTGAAGAGCTGAAGGACAGCGCCCAGGCCCAGAGTTCAAGCCCCACGGCCGACCAAAAAAAAATAAATAAATAAAAATAAATAAATAAAAGAAGGGCTGAAGCCAGGCACTGGTGGCTCACACCTGTAATCCTAGCTTAGAAGCTGAGATTGGATTGTGGTTCAAAGCCAGCTTGGATGGGAAAGTCTGTGAGACTCTTCAATTAACCCCCCAAAAGCCAGAAGTGGAGCAATGGCTCAAGTGATAGAGCTCTAGCCTACAGCAAACTTGCTCAGGGACATTGCCTAAGCTCAGAGTTCAAGCCCCAAGACCAACAGAAAAAAGAAAAACAAAGATGGAGTCCAAGCAAGCAAGGCCACCTTGAACAGGAAGACCAGGAGAGGGCAATTACAGGGAGAAGGCCTGAGGGAGAAGGGTGCAGGGGTGGGGTGGGGTGGGGCAAGGAAATCTTGGTGCCTTTGCCATTAAATAGCTGTCTTGGAAGCGCTCTTAGCCACGCAGGGCCATGCTGAGGAGGTGCGCCTCCGTCAGCGACCCGACTCTCCAGCGGCAGTGGGCAGATGTCCCCTTGCCATATCAACCTTCCAGCCCTGCTTCTGAGCTGTCAACAGAAATCAGGGCCAAAGAGGGCGAGGGGCAGCTGCCTGCCTGTGGGCAGCTTTCTCCCCCTGCAGAGTCTGTGCCATGCTGGAGGGCAGAGCCTGCCTTTGCTGTGAGCCCACGACATAGCAGAACAAGACAGAGACACCTTTTTTTTTTTTTTTTTTTTGTCGGGTGTGGGGCTTGAACTTTGGGCCTGGGTGCTGTCCCTGAGCTCTTCAGCTCAAGGTGAGTGCTCTACTGCTTGAGCCACAGCGCTATTTCCAGTTTTCTGATGGTTAATTGGAGATAAGAGTCTCATGGACTTCTTGCCATGATCCTCAGATCTCAGCCTCCTGAGTAAGTAGGATAACAGGCGTGAGCCACTGGCACCCGGCCAGAGTGGCCTTTACTGGGGACAGAACATATGACCAGCCCTGCAGATGACCCAAGAAGAAGAGAGGGTAATAGAGCCGGAGACGGGTCTGCAGGGACTGAAGCAGGTGTGACCCTCAGAGTGGGGAGCAGGCTGGGGCTCAGGGTCCACAGTGTGGAGGAAGGCGGAGGAGAGCAAGGCTGGCCAGGATGGAGGGAAGTCCCACTTCAGAGCTGCCTACGGGATCTAGCTTTGTCGCTCTGTCCAACTTTGCCACTTCTTCCTGGGTCACAGGGGATCCTGTGTGCCCAGCTCCCTCCATGCCCTGTTCCCCCTGCCCCCTCCCCCACATGGCCTTTCACAGGGGCTCACACCTCTCATCCTAGCTACCCAGGACGCAGAGCTGAGGATGCTGCAGTTCACTGTCAGCCCAGCAGGAAAGTCCATGAGACTTTAATGTCCAATTCACCAACACAAGGCAGAACGTGGAGGTGTGGTTCAAGTGGTAGAGCACCTTGAGCCAGATAGCTAAAGGATAGCTCCTGGATCCTCCATGAGTTCAAGCCCCAGTACCAGCACACACACACACACACACACACACAGACACACACACACACACACAAAGTGGGCCACAAAACAACCTGGGAGGTGCTGATCAGTTCATCTTTTTTAGTAGATTGGAATGTAATTCAAATCTTGGGGTTCCCTAGCCCTGGGGAATCTGTACTTTCACCCCAGATTCTGACAAGTCTGCGCTAGCTGTGAGACAATGTGACAGGGACTTCCCTGTGTCTGGCCCCAAACAGATTTCTGGTCTCTCCTCTTTCTCCCTCATCACAGGGTGGAGGGTAGGGAGGGCGGGGGAGGGGGCTGGGCACCCCAGCTCTGGCTGGGCAGTGGGCGATGATGGCTGGAGTGGAAAATCCCCCCTGGCCGGATGCTATCGGTGCTTGGCAGAGTTGGGCTGGCCTCCTGCCTTGGCCCAAGGGTCTGATAAATCTGTTTGGGGCCCGGAGTGTGAATACGAGGCAGCAGAGAGGGCGAGAGGGCGCTGGCAGGGAACTTTTTCCATTCACACCCCCCCCCCCCCCCCCCAGGCAGAGAGCTTTCTCAGACCTGGTTGGCCATCCAGCCCCAGGCCACTTCAGGCCATGGGAAGCTGGTAGCTGGGGAAAGGGACAGGGTAGAGGTGAGGCTACAGATGGGGACCGGGAGCCCGCATAGCTCAGCCTGGTGGGCGGAGAGGAAAAAGGCAGACAGAGCTTAGGGGATGGTGATGCCACAGTCAGAGGTGTTTTAGAACTAAAGACGGGGGGCAGGTGTGTCCCCCTTCTTGTACCCTGCTCCAGGGCTGTGTTCGGCTTTGCGCAAGAGGCACAGCCAGAGCCAGAGTGGCTTATTTGGAGTCCTGGACACATACTGAGTTAGGGTCAAGATTTCTCCATGTGCCTTGTTTTTCCTGGAAAGCCTCTGAGAGGGAGAACTCCACTTAGCCACCAGCTTCCCAGTCCCACCCCAGCACCGAACTCAAAGCCTTGACTTTTTCACTTAAGACTGGTTTTACCTCTTGAGCCACAGTTCCACTTCTGGCTTTTTTGCTGGTTAACTGAAGATAAAAATCTCACCATTTTGTCTGCTTGGGCGGGCTTTAAACTTGAGCTTTAGCTCTCAGCCTCCTGGAGTGCTAGGAATATAGGCATGAGCCATCAGCATCTAGCTATCACCACCAACGGCGCTCACATCATCATTGCTCATCCAACACCCTGGTGCTAGGCGCCTGTGGCTCCCGCCTATAATCCTAGCTCCCCAGGATGCTGAGATCTGAGGATCTCTGTTTATAGACAGCCCAGACAGGAAAGTCTTTGAGACCCTTATCTCAATTAACCACCGAAAGAGCCAGAAATAGAGCTGTGACTCAAGTGGTAGAGCACTAGCCCTGAACAAAAAAAGGTGACTCAGTGCTCAAACCCTGAGTTCAAACCCAAAGACCAGCACAAAAATAAAATTAGTAAGAAAAGATGAGCTACAAAAAAAAAAAAAGAAAAAAACCGGGCACCGGTGACTCACGCCTGTCATCCTACTATTTAGGAGGTTGAGATCTGAGGATCTCGGTTCAAAGCCAGCCTGGGCAGGAAACTCCATGAGACTCTTATCTCCAATAAACCACTAGAAAACCGGAAGTGGCGCTGTGGCTCAAGCAGTAGAGTGCTCACCTTGAGCTGAAGAGCGTAGGGACAGCGCCCAAGCCCAGAGTTCAAGCTCCATGACCGACCAAAAAAAAAAAAAGAAAGAAAGAAAGGAAGAAAGAAAAAACAAACAAACAAAAAAGATTCTTCACCTGGGCACCAGTGGCTCAGGCCTGTAATCCTAGCCACTCAGGAAGCTGAGATCTGAGGATCTCAATTCAAAGCCAGCTTGGACAGGAAAATCTATGAGACACATCTCCAATTAAGCACCAGAAAGGCTGGAAGTGGAGCTGTGGCTCAAGTAGTTGTGCTAGACCTGAGCAAAAAAGCTTAGGGACAGTTTCAAGGAGCTGAGCTCAAGCCCTAGTATTGACAAAATGAACAAACAAAACCCACCTTGATTATAACCACCAATCTAGTTTCGGGTCCCCCAAATACCCCAAACTCCACCTCCCAAGGGCTTTGATTGAACCTCTAAAAGCACATCACCTACAGACCAGAGGTCCTCAAGGAATTTGTGCCTCTTGAGGGGATATTTTTGGTTTTTCCAACTGGGGGCCACTAGGGGCATCTAGTGGGTAGCAGCTATGGATTCTGTGAAACACCCCACAGTACCCAGGACAAACACTTATTTATTCTCAATGTCATTAACACTCAGCTTGAGAAATCTTGTCTATAGATCCCATGCCCCTCACTCTGGCTCTACCTTCTTTTTGTTTTTTCTTTCCTTCCTGGCTCTCACCCCAAAATACCTACATCATGCCTGAGGTTCTTGGCCCAAACAGAGGTAATCTCTGCTACTCCATCTTAATGCAAGTTTGTTCTCTCTTATCACTGGTACCTCCTGGCCTCTGTTGCTTAAATTGAAAAGTCAATAAGATGAAAAGTCCGTGGTGGCCATGCTCCAGAGGGAAAAACATACAGGAACCATTGATACATGGCGCCCAAGGGACACGCTGGTTTGGGGGTCATGCTTGTTCAGGGCAGGGACGCAGGGGCCGGCCTTGATCCTGGGGCTATAAAAGGAGATGGAGGACTCAGGGCTTCACTCCACTGTGCCGGTGAACTCCGAGTAGTTTCTCCTCTGTGGGCAGCTAAGGAACTTGGCATCATGAAGTGGATGGTGGTGGTTTTGCTCTGCCTCCCCCTGCTGGAGGCCACTCTGGTCAGGTGAGTCTGGTGCCCGGCTGGTGGCACCACTGGGTGTCCCAGGTTGGAGCCTGGAGCCCTGCGAGGCCCAGCTGGGGCCCAGGGCTGCTCTGTCACTAGGGAGGAGTTTCTGGGAGAGGAAAGGAAGGCTTCCTCTGCGGGTGTTCTGCAGGACTCTCCAGGGGGGTGGGGTGGGGGAAAAGAACTGATGCTGCCTTTCAGTGTAGCACAGTCCCTTCCCCTCCTGGGATAAAGATGGAGTGGGGCTGGGAAGGTGGCTCAGTGGTAGAGCGCTTGCCTTGCATGCATGAGGCCCTGGGTTCGATTCCTCAGCACCACATCAACAGAAAAAAAAAGCCGGAAGTGGCGCGGTGGCTCAAGTGGTAGAGCGCTAGCCTTGAGCTGAAGCGCTGAGGGACAGTGCCCAGGCCCAGAGTTCAGGCTCCATAACGAACAAAATAAAGAAAAGAAAAGAAAAGAAAAAAAAGAAAAAGATGGAGTTGAAACAGGGAGAGTTAGGGTGACTATGGCCACTGCAGCCCTGGGGGGCCAATGTGGCTTTCCTATAGAAAGGAACAATCTTGCCAGGTACTAGGGGCTCCTCTTATAATCCCAAGCTACTCAGAAGGCTGGAAGCTGAGGACTGTGGTTCAAAGTTAGCCTGGGCAGGAAAGTCTATGAGACTCATCTCCAATTAGCTAGCAAAAAATCTAGAAGTGTGGCTCAAATGCCAGCCAAAGGAAAGTAATCCTTTCTAAAAATTCCCTAAAGACAGCTCCCCACACAAGGTACTGGCAGATGCCAAAACTGTGTTCGCAGAAGCAGCAGTGACTGTCTAGTCTCTCTGTACCGTGAGTTGCCAGGAGCAATCTCATGGTGGTACACGTGGCATTGGCTCACAGGACAGGAGGATGGAGCCAGCCAGCCACACTTCCAGACATTGCATTGTGAGAGTAGTCAGCCATTTGCACATGCAATTTTGCATCCATAAATTCAACTAACTGTGAATTCAACTCATTCAGAAAGAAGCTGTGTATATACTGCCTCTGTATAGATGTTTTTCTTGTCATTAGACAAAATACAGTTTAATTGAAGGATTAGATACCACACATAATCTGGAGATGATTTGAAGTACATGGGTGTGTGCACATATGTTACAGACCATGCTCAGCTGTGGGGTGGAGTATTCACAGACATTGGTACCCATGGGGCTCCTTCAAACAAAGCCCCAGGGTATGATGGGAATATCTTAGGGGAAGAGCTAGCTTCCGTCGAAAACGTTTTCTGCCATGCAGACTTGATAGACGGGTGTGAAGCAAATCTCATGCTCCATAGCTCATGTGAAGGTGTTTGGCAGAGAATTTCTGGAGAATATAAGGTCCCAACAAATGGAAATTAAGACAGGGAGAGAGGTAAGAGAAGCCGAAATTTTGAATCCTGGGACAAGGCATGGGTGGACCCTATGGAGAACCCTGGACAATGGCTGCCAGCAGGTCTGGGAGGAAGATAGCCAAGAGATGATATAGGGAGCCATGATTCCTACCTTCCCACTCCCTGTGGGCCTGGCGACCTGAGAAGCGTGGTGGTGGCCTCTGGTCCATATGGCTAACAGGATGGCAGATGGCGACCCCCTTCACTGTCCCATGCACTGTAGTACCAGCTGATGCCCGAGGGAGACTCTCTTTGGGGTGAACCCTGCTTTCTCTGAAATCTTTTTTTTTTTTTTTGGTCAGTCGTGGGGCTTGAACCCTGGGCCTGGGCGCTGTCCCTCAGCTCTTCAGCTCAAGGAGAGCACTCTACCACTTGAGCTACAGCGCCACTTCCGGTTTTCTGGTGGTTTATTGGAGATAGGAGTCTCACAGTCTTTCCTGCCCGGGCTGGCTTTGAACCGCGATCCTCAGATCTCAGCCTCCTGAGTAGCTAGGATTACAGGCGTGAGCCACCAGCGCCCGGCTTCTGAAATCTTTTCTATTTATTTTTATTTTTTTATTTTTTGCCAGTCCCAGGCTTGAACTCTAGGTCTGAAGGCTGTCCCTCAGCTCTTCAGCTCAAGGCTAGCCTTTTCCACTTGAGCCACAGCGCCACTTCTGGCTTTTTCTGCTTATGTGGTGCTGAGGAATCGAACCCAGGGCCTCAGGCATGCAAGGCAAGCACTCTACCACTGAGCCAACTTCCCAGCCCTTCTGAAATCTTTTTAACAATGCACTGATGCCTATAAAGGGAGGTGCCTGAAGTCTCTCTCATTTCCTGGGAAGGAATTTTGGAGATATTTGAAAATGGAGGGCCAGCAGCATGAATACCTGCAAGATGGGGTGACAGCACATGTCAGAGAAGTTAACTGTTCCTTTCCTTTCCCTTCCTTTCTTCTTCCTTTCCTTCCTTCCTTCCTCCTTTCCATCCTTTCCTTCCTTCCTTCCTTCCTTCCTTCCTTCCTTCCTTCCTTCCTTCGTGTGTGTGTGTGTGTGTGTGTGTGTGCCAGTACTGGGCCTTGAACTCAGGGCCTTGCACCCTTTCTCAGCATTTTTCCTTACAGCTTGCACTCTACCAGTTGAACCACACCTCCAGTCTAACTTTTTTGCTAGTTAATTGGAAATAGAGTCTTGCAGATTTTTCTGCCCCAGCTGGCTTCAAACTTTGTTTGGGTTTTTTTTTTAACTGTATTTTTTTTGTCTTTTCTTTTTTGGTACTGGGGATCGAACCCAGGACGTTGCACTTGCTAGGCAAGCGCTTTGCCACTGAGCTACATCCCAGCCCTGGCTTCAAACTTTGATCTTCAGATCTTAGCCTCCTGAGTAGCTGGGATTATAAGTGTGTGAATGACAGGTGCCTGGTTAATTTTTTTTTTTTAACTTCGAGGCAAGCATTGGGATAAGGTTTAAGAGCATGCAGAAAGGGGAAGAAAAATGGAGAGAGGGAGGGAGACACACACAAAGAGAGACAGAGAGAGGCACACAGAGACAGAGATAGGGAGACACAGGGAGATGACATGAGCCGGACACCCGCATCCCTCTGCAGAATCCCACTGAAGAGACGTAAGACAATCCGAGAGACCCTGAAGGACAAGGGCTTACTGGAAGACTTCCTGAAGACTCACAAGTACAACCCCGCTCAGAAGTACCGCCTCAACAGCTTCGATGACTTCAGCGTGCTCTATGAGCCGGTGGCCTACATGAACGTGAGTCCTGACACTCGCAGGTCGTCCCTGATCCTGCTTCCAAAGCCCTCCTGTGCCCAGGCCTTCTCCCAGTCCTGCCAGCAGGCTGTGGGGCCCATTGCCTACTGACCAGTGGCCAGTTGGAGCCCACTGAGAACTTTGTGCTTGTCTAGACAGAAGGGCTATGGAAGGAAGGATGACTTGGGGTGCATCTGATGGTGCAGGCTAGAGAGCAGGGGCTGCCCCTTTTGCCACTCTGCCCAGAAGCTCCTAGCTCCTTCTGGTGCTAAGAGCCTGCCCTGTGACCTTCCAGGCTGCTTACTTTGGCGAGATCAGCATCGGGACTCCACCCCAGAACTTCCTGGTCCTTTTCGACACCGGCTCCTCCAACCTGTGGGTGCCCTCTATCTACTGCAAGAGCGAGGCCTGCAGTGAGTATGGGGTTGGGCAAGGAGGGCTGGTGGGCAGAGCAGGGCGCTGGTGTCCCCCCAGAGATGCTGGGCACCATCACTCCACGAGAGAATTAAGCACGGGCATGGTCACATGGAATGCCCAAGCCGGAGGAAAGAAGACAGACCTAGAGCTGAGCGGTCCCCCTCGACGTGTGCCAGCCTAGCTTGCCCATCTCCATCTTATTCCTCCCTACCCCATTCTAATCAACTCATTCCTTTTCCTGTGGATAATTTCCACTCCTTTCCATCCTACTCAATTCTGTGACGTTCTATTCCATTCTACTACTTAGGAAGTTCTCACTGAGAGTCTCCAAGAGGTAGGAAAGAGTTACACTGACATGTCCTCTCCCCCCACCCTAACCGTAGTGGTTTGGAAAGACAGTGCTCATTGTCTGAATATCTGAAGGTTGTCCGGCTCCCTGCCAAAGCCTTGGGATTCGGGGTCCTGACATCTCAGTCCAAGGGGGTCCCTCCTTGGCCACACGCAATGCTACCTCAAGACCCTGGGATGATCAGCTTCTTGATGGGGCAGAGGCAGAGGGTGAGAGGAAGCCTGGTGTGTGTGTGTGTGTGTGTGTGTGTGTGTGTGTGTGTGCCAGTCCTGGGGCTTGAACTCAGTGCCTAGGCACTGTCCTTGAGTTTTTATGCTCAAGACTAGCGCTCTACCACTGAGCCATAGATCCATTTCCAACTTTTTTTTTTTTTTTTTTTTTGGCGGTTAACTGGAAATGAGAGTCTCACCCTTTCTTACCTGGGCTGGCTTTGAACCTTGATCCTCAGATCTCAGCCTCCTGAGTAGCTAGGAGTACAGGTGTGCCTTAGAGGCCCATTTCATCCTCATTGAGTAGTCACTGACTAGCCTGTGGGCCAGGGCTCCCCTGGGACACGGAGAAGGAGTCCAGGTCACCCAGCTCTGCCATCCTTCTGTGACTGATGAGACAGCTGACATCTCAGGTGGGGGCACAGGCTTAAGGAAAGACGGAGGCAGGAAACCCTGCAGGCCTAAGCGCCAGATAGACCCGGCCTACACATGGCAGCCTGACTTCTCTCCACCTCCTCTGCAGCCACTCACCCCCGCTTCAACCCCGGCCAGTCTTCCACCTACACCACCAACGGACAGACCTTCTCCCTGCAGTACGGCACCGGCAGCCTCACTGGCTTCTTTGGCTATGACACCCTGACTGTGAGCATCTCTTCCCACCCCAGGATGGGGGGGGGGGCGTGGAGAGGGGCAGAGAGGGGCTGAGAGGCAGCCCCTGAAGTGTGAGGAATACTGGACAGGAAGTCAGCACACTAGAGTTTCCTCCACGCATGGCTCGGATACTTGCTGAGGGCCATTCCATTGCTGGGGACTGGGGATACCATAATGAACCAATCTGATCTGGCCCTTTCCCTTTAGGAGTTCAAGAGCTTGGGAGAAGAGAGAGAGGATTGGGTAGGGATGCTATGATTGACAGTTAGGGGAGACCAATTGGAGGGCAGCCTAGAAAGCCCTTGCAAGACCTGTGGAAAGGGGGAGGAGTCTAAGTGAGAAGGTTCTCTTTGGACCAAAGCCTGGGGAGACTTGTCACCTCCTCTTTCTTGTCCTCCCTCCAGCTCCAGAGCATCCAGGTGCCCAACCAGGAGTTCGGCCTGAGCGAGAACGAGCCAGGTTACACTTTTGTCTATGCGAAGTTCGATGGCATCATGGGCCTTGCCTACCCTGGGCTGGCTGCCGGAGGGGCCACCACTGCCTTGCAGGGCATGCTGCAGGAAGGCGCCCTTTCCAACGCCCTCTTCAGCGTCTACCTGGGCAGGTGAGCAACTTCCCTGCCGCTCCCCACCTTTTATCCCAGGGCCCTGTCCCTCCATCCCCACCCCCCCCGGAATTTGAAAGCTCAGTGCTTTCAGGATTGGAGGAGGCTAGCAGGCTTGTGGCTCCAGATCCTTCTGGATCCGAGGCTCCACCCCCAGCATGGTGTCTGCCCCCAGTCTACCCTGCATTCTCTTTGCATTCTTTTGCTTCCAGCGGCTCAGATTCTCCAAACTTCTTGGGGTGACTCCTGCCCTTAACAGCAGTGAGCTCATGGCTCTGACTGCCATTTTCTCCTGTGTACCTCTTTTGTATTATAATCTATTGCTTCATCTGCTTTGATCTATTGTTCTAAGCGGTCCTGGAGTCTTCCCGTCTAGGCTCACTCTTGACTCCTACTGGTGTAGGCCTTCCAGAAAGCACATGCCGGCACCGCAGGCTGCTAGAAGGCGGCCCTTGTTAGCCACCTTCCAGGGATGGCTCCCACCTACCGGCCACAGCTTTACCCCTTCATCCCGACACTCAGCGTCGTCCTCTGTGGCTGATGGCCTTGGCTTTGCCCTGTGCCTCTGTGTACACTCATTCTTCATGTGACCCCTGGAAACGTCTCCCAGCCCAGCACCCCAGCTCCCTGCAGGGAAGGCTTCTGGAACAGACATGGGAAGTCTTTCCCTCTCCTGTAGCAGAAACATGACAAGTTGGGTTGGAGTGGGGCTCCTGGTGACGTGTTCTACCAGAGGCACGAGGAGAGCACCGTGTGGCATGGAGCGGGACCCACAGACTAGCAGCTCCCCCAGAGGCTGGCTCTATGGGGGAGCCGGAGGAACTGGGACATTGTGGGAGGCCTAGACAGGGGGTCCCAGTGTGAGGGGGACACAGCCTGTCCCTGGGGAGCCCCAATGTGAGGGGACACAGGCCCCTGCTCAGGCTTCACAGTTGAAGCCAGGGAGGAGCGTTTCCCTCTGCGAGGGCTGGGCCGCCTCTCCGTGGCTCAGCCTTCCCTCTGTCTCCACAGCAAGGAGGGTTCTGAGGACGGAGGAGTGATCGTCTTCGGGGGTGTGGACGAGAGCTTGTACACCGGAGAGATCTTCTGGGCCCCTGTCACCCGGGAGCTCTACTGGCAGATCGCCCTTGAGGAGTGAGTCCATGTGGGGACCCTGGGGGCGTGCCCCCGCCTGGAGTGGGCACCCCAGGCCACACACATACTGACACTGCTGCGGCGCGTCTCAGTCCTTACAAACCAATCCTCAGTGGCCCTGGCTTGATGAATTTTTACAGCCTTCCTCCGAACTTTCTAGAAATGGATTCCATGGCTACTTGGAGGGCTGGGAGGGGGGGGCTGGCTGGGATGGTCTGAGGGGCACTCACTGGGTCGAGCTCTGCAGGGGCTGCACCTTGCCCAGGATAAGAACCTGTCTGCGCTGTGGCTGTTTCTCAGGGGCAGGGAAGTGCACCCGGCGGTGCTGAACTTGTAGGGCTGAGGCTGCCATTTTGTCCCCCTGCGTTCAGGTTCTTTGTTGGTGACCAGGCCTCCGGCTGGTGCTCTCAGGGCTGTCAAGGCATCGTGGACACAGGCACCTCTCTGCTCGCCGTCCCTAAGAATTACCTGAGCACCCTTTTGGAGGTCATAGGAGCTCAGGAGAGCGCATATGGACAGGTGGGTATGGCAAGAGCTCCCACACCCCCAGGCTAGCCCAGAGGCATTTGTGAATTACTCCAAATATCTAAATTCTTGGTCCCCAGGGCTCTAGTGACCCAAGGCATTGGTGGAAGAGGCCAGCAGGAGCCCGGGGCCCTGGCTGGAGGGAGGGGCCCGGAGGTAGAGAGTGCTAGGCAGGAATTTCTTCTGAGCTACAATTGCTCAGGGAAATGGACTAAAACCTTCTGGGCCTTTTGGCTTAGAGTGAAATAACTAGGAAGTGAAGCAAAGGGGGCTGGGAAAGTGGCTCAGTGGTAGAGCGCTTGCCTTGCATGCCTGAGACCCTGGGTTCGATTCCTCAGCAGCACATAAGCAAAAAGAAAAAAGCCGGAAGTGGCGCTGTGGCTCAAGTGGTAGAGTGCTAGCCTTGAGCTGAAGAGCTGAGGGACAGTGCCCAGGCCCAGAGTTCAGGCCCCACGACTGGATCCCCCCCCCCAAAAAAAACCCAGCTGCTGTCTGTCTGAGCCCAGTGAAATGTTGGCCTAATGAACCCCTTCCTGCTAACTTTGGGGGGGGACCCAATGGTGCTACTTTTTCTATACATTTATGTGTTTTAAAATATAGTTGCAGGCCAGCACTGTGGCTCATATCTGTAAAATCCTAGCTACTCAGGAGGCTGAGATCTGAGAATCGCGGTTCAAAGCCAGCCTGGGCAGGAAAGACCGTGAGACTCCTATCTCCAATAAACCACCAGAAAACCGAAAGTGGTGCTGTAGCTCAAGTGGTAGAGCGCTCGCCTTGAGCTGAAGAGCTGAGGGACAGCGCCCAGGCCCAGAGTTCAAGCCCCACGACCGACCAAAAAAAAAAAAAGAAAAGAAAAGTCTATGAGACTTCTGATGGCAAAAAGCCAGAAGTGGAGCTGTGGCTCAAGGGCTAGAGCACCAGTTGAGCGAGGGATGTTGTTCAAGAAGTAGAGCACTTACCTAGCATAAGGCAGGGCCCTGGGTTCAATCCCCAACATGCACGTACACTCACACACATAAAGGTACTTGCAGTGAGGGCAGTAATTCAAGCTGGGGTGGGGAATATTTTTAGGTCTCCCCCAAATCCATACTGTCTATTAGGTACTATGAGTCCACTGTAGAATGCTATTGAAATTTGCATAGGATTTCCCTTGAAGCTCAGTCCTCCTGTACAGAAGCAGGTGAAGGGTTTAGGCCTGTGGCCTGAGGTGGCAGGCTTAGGAGGGCTCTGTTCCTCTCTGCAGTATTATGTGAACTGTAACAACGTGGAGAGCCTGCCCACCCTCAAGTTCGTCATCAACGGTGTGGAGTTTCCTCTGCAACCTTCCGCCTACATCCTTGAAGTAAGTCCTGGCCCTGGTAGGTGGAGTCTCCAGGATTGGAGCATTAGAGATGCGTGCATCACCAGGAAGGCTCCACCTCCTTGCCTTGTGCTATGCCCCAGTTAATCACAGCACTGACTTATGTGCCCCAGAGCATCATCCATGATCCGTGATTATTGTCATTATTAGAGGAGACAGGAACTGGGCTCTTATTGAATGCTGATGAGGGCTAGGCAATGTGCTTCATTGTCACAGTATCTGAGGAGGGAGACCCTCATTTGTATCCTACGAGTGAAAACTTAGAGCATCAGAGAGGTTGAATAATGGACCTAAGGCCACTTGGCTATGGAGGAGAAAGCAAAAGTTAGCATCCAAGTTGGTCTGGTTCCAAGGTGAAACAAACAGACTGCAAATCAGGAGCTGGAGGGGAGCATGTAAGAAGAGAAATGCCCTGCCACGGGCAGAGGACCGCTGGAGCCCGGATTATCAATTGGAGAAATTTTCCCATCATCCCCTGCTCTGGTGGGCCAACTGGCCAATGAGTGTAATTGTTGATCCAGGGGTCAGGGCTGAGTGGTGTCCAACTCATGTGAGCAAAGAAATTCCTTTGTTTGTTGAGCAGGAAGATGGTTTCTGCATGGTGGGAATCGAGTCCATTGACATCACCTTAGAGAGTGGCCAGCCCTTCTGGATCCTTGGAGATGTCTTCCTCAGGTCCTACTATTCTATCTTCGATGTGGCCAACAACAGAGTGGGCTTTGCCACTGCCATCTAGACTTCCTGCCTGGACCCCTGGGAACCCTTCTTCCTCATAGTTCCCACCACCATCCCAGGAAATATTCTCTCTGTCCTCCTTCTCTGGATCCAGGACTTTCTCTAATAATAAATAGATCTTCACATTAGCCAGCTTGTTGTGTATTCCTTTTGTTTTGGTTTGAAGGTGTTGGGGGTGGGGGCTATAAGGTGTTCTGGTCTCTGGGAAGGGGAGAATAACCACTTGAGTGGTCCCAAGGTGTCCTGGTGGGTCACTGAGATTCTAAGAGAATTAGTGCCTGAGGCTGGGTTCGGGGTTTGACCCCTGAACCTCAGGCTGGGGCTTTTACCACTTGAGCCACAGCTCCCACATCTGATATCCTGTTGGTAAATTGGAGACAAGTCTCAAGGACTTTCCTGTCTGGTCTGGCTTTGAATCAAGATCCTCAGATCTCTACTTTTTGAGTAGTTAGGATTACAGGCACGAGGGCTGGGAAGTTGGCTCAGTGGTAGAGCGCCTGCCTTGCATGCCTGAGGCCCTGGGTTTGCTTCCTTAGCACCACATAAGCAAAAAGAAAAAAGCCGGAAGTGGCGCTGTGGCTCAAGTGGTAGAGCGCTAGCCTTGAGGTGAAGAGCTGAGGGACAGAGCTCAGGCCCAGAGTTCAGGCCCCACAACTGGACCAAAAAAAAAAAAAAACACAAAAAAAAGGATTACAGGCATGAGTCACCTGCTTATGTATATGTCTTTGTGAAGGGGCCAACTCATCATCATCATCATCATCATTACTGCCAGTCCTGGGCTTGAACTCTTGGCCTTTCCTGCCTGGGCTGGCTATGAACCGTGATCCTCAGATCTCAGCCTCCTGAGTACTTAGGATTACAGGTGTGAGCCACTAGCACCTGATAAGGGTTCAACCCTTAACAATGAGAAATGCTCTGCTGATCCACTTTACTAATTCTCCCTGGAACCACCCCACTGACTCAAGACCTCATACATGTCCACTCACAGTGGGGGGGTGGGAGGGGGGCTGAAGCACTTCCACAGCTGAGTGCCACTTTCCTTAGCTGTAAGTAGACTGGAATTTTCTGGAGGATGCTAGATACCTATGTGCACTTGCAATATGGGGCCTTCAGGAGGTGGCTGCTGCCAGTTATTTCCAGAAGGACTTCCATGAGCCAAGGCTGAGTTACACAGACTTTTTATGCTTTCTTATTTTTGGTGCTTTGAACTCAGGGCCTCCCACTACTTCAGTTTGCTTGCTTGGCTGGCACTCTACCACTTGAGCTTGTCTCCAGCCTGTCTTTTTGCTGGTTATTTTGGAGATGGACTCTCAAACTTTTCTGCCCTGGCTAGGTTCAAGCATCAATTGATTCTCTGGATCTCAGCTTCTGAGTAGGTACTTAACAGGCATGAGCTACAGATGTGAGGCTTAGACGGATGGTATTATTGTCCAAACTCCTATGTATGTATGTCCCAGGACTAGTATGTGATGGAGGTATGACCTCAAATATGGACAAGAGGGAGAGTTCCTTGAGTTACATGGAAATTAAGCCCACTTGCTCTGACCCTGTAGACTTCATTCTGTCCTCACTAGGAGCTGCCTAGCAAAACCCTCAGAAATCTGAACTAACATGGTGTGAAAAGGAAAATAAAGAGGAGAGAAGGAAAGACAGAGAGGAAGAGGAAATGGAAGAGGAGGAGGAGGAGGAGAGGAGCAGGTGGAGAGAAAGGGAGGTGGAGAAGGAAGAGAAAAATGAGGAAAAGAGGGAGGAAAGAAGGAGGAGGAAGAAAGGATGAAAAGGGAGAAAGGAAAGAAAGCAGAGAATGATGGTTTAGCATCCTTGACTCAACAGAGAAGTTGACACGAAAGTAGATTAGAAAAAGTCTGACCAGCAACGTGGTGGTGGGGGGGAACCTAGCAAGTTCTAGCTGATGAGGGAACGAAAATGGAGACCCCTGGGGGCAGGGGCAGGCTCCTGGCTGACCTCAAGCTTGCCTCTTCTAGGAGTAGAGGTAAAAGGGCAACAGCCAGGTCCCACACCCCACTCCAAAGCCGGAGGGAAATGGGTTTGCCAAGAGGATTTCTACGGTAACCACACTCCATCTGGGACACCTTTCCCAGATTCCTAGAAAAACAGCCTGCTATAGGCTCCTTCTTGGGGGTCAGGCAGGTCACAAGATGTAACGTAGTGGGGTCCAGGCTTGGAGCATCGGTGACCGAGAGGAGAAAGAAAATTTGAAAAAGGGACAGACAGAAGCGAACAAAAAAGTTCCAAGTCCAAAGACCAGTTCCTGGAGACCTTGGCCAGAAGAGCCGGACTACGAATCCCGGCGTGCCTAGCGGGACTTCAAGCACGGACTACGCTTCCCAGCGGGTACCGCGGTAGGCTGGCGGAGGCGGGGCGGGCCGTGGGGGCGGAGTCGGCCGCGGGGGCTGGTGCTGCCCTCTGCCGGGCGCGGCGGGAAGTGGGCGCTGAGTGACAGCCGGAGCCCGGGTGCCGGGCGCGGGGCTCGGTGACAGCGGAGGCGGCTGCTACGGGCGGGACGCAGAGAGCCGCGTCGACGCGGACGGCGGCGGGAAGTGCAGACGAGGGCGGGCCTCCCCGGTGGCGCGTAGCCCGAGGAGCCCGGGAGCGGGCGGCGAGCGCAGCTCGCGGGTCGGGCACCCCAACTTGAGACAAGTTGCCGGAACCTCCCGACGCCGGCGGCGGACGGCTTGACCTTCAGGGCGGAGGTGAGCCGAGCCGGGGCGGGGGGGCAGGGACGAGCGGGGAGCCCGGG